AGGTTGGGTACTGCGTGCCAAAACTGAAACGACTATCACTGTTGACCACGTAAATGTCACGCTGTAGTGAACTTTTGGGGACACTTTTGTCTTGCATGTGGTTTTCACTGCTTCATAAGCTTGGCCACATTTGACATGATATTTCTCAACAAATTACGGAAAGAAAGAGACGAATGTTCTCTCTTGTTCCCCTATACTTCGGAAGAAACAACATGACTGTCCCGTGGCGGCGATAGATAGAAACTCTCTCTCTCTCTCTCTCTCTCTCTCTCTCTCTCTCTCTCTCTCTCTCTCTATTAGCAAACATAGAAACTTAGTTTCCATTTGTTTCTTCTACAATATGTACTTGTTTAAATAAAAACAGTCCTCACGTCGTTTTGCATGCTGTTTCGATCCCCATTGTGGTTTAGAGAAGCGCGAAACAACGTGAACTATGTCTACAATAGTGTCGGTCGAAACGACGCTAGTGTGTTGATGTCCATTCAACTTCTCCCATTTCAATTTCTTGCAACCGGTCATGTGTTGCCGTTCACTGTCGACCTCCTTGTACCATTGCACAAATCCGCAGTTGTGTTGCATATTACCGCTGTCCGTGGATGCGTCCACAACAAAAAACATGGCTACTGATGCAAACCATGTGCATTCATTGCCTGCTCTAATTGCGACGTCACTGTGCACTGGTCTCCCATGGAACTGTGGCGACGCTCTTGCAATTTGAACAAGTGTGCCCCTATTTGTTCCGTCCTGTACGCAAGCGATGGCCAGGTGTGTCCATGTGTGTATAAGCAGGTCGTCAGAAGGAGGTTGACAACCATTCTCCACCATGTATGTCGTAAGCGCAGCTCGAAAATCGCATCTGCAAGGACGCTCTTCAAGTATCTTACACGCATGGTTGTCAATACCCTCTCCCTCGCGTATGTACTCGTCATCGATGTCGAACCACCGCAGTTGCAGCATTGTCGTGTCGCGTAGCGCGAGGGTGTTCATTCCGGTGGCCATACAGTCTGTCACGGACGACCGGTTCTCAACCGTTCTCTTTCTCCGTTTCCTCACGATCCCGATCTCTTCACATAACGCCAATGACCGCCGCACATGGTTTACCATCAGGGTTGAAGCTTTCTGCTTGTTTGATGACAGATATGGCTGTTTGTTGAATTTCCTGTGGTGATGCTCCCAAACATCTGTCGCGAAGGTGTCGGGGACACCGGATCGCTCAATACACGTTGTCAGGTGCATGGGATCGTGCAACTTGGGGAGTTTCCATGTTGATGGTTGATATTTTTCTAATTTTCCTTTGATAGTCGTTACGAAGTCCGTGATCAAAGCGTCGCATTCATCGAGCGAAGTATGACTGTGTGTTGTACACCGAAACACTCGTATGTACATTTCCATCAGTTTCACAAAACAAACGATAATGCCCTTGCCTGTCGAGCGCGGTATAATATTAGAAATAAGGAACACGCACACTGTCATCACAGACCGGTTTTACTTCGCCTCGAACCGTCCCTCCCTCGAAAAAAGTCGCTGCCAGTGGCCACTGGCAACACATGTTGGGGTATGTTCGCTTGTACCTCTCACTAACGCTTTGCAACCTTGCATCTAGTTCCTTCAGGATCTCTGTTTGCGGTACGTGCAGCAACTTCTCAAAGGCTGCGGTCCTGAATGCGTCAATCATGTGCATGAATATGTCGTGCTCGATTGTGTGCATACAGTTTGGTTGCAATGCTAGGTGGTAGTCTAGCTAAAGATCGTCACCATTGGGGCCCCTGTAGAACCCCCAAAGGCCGTTCTGTTGAACATGCCTATGCATGTTCAACTCCGACATTCGTACTTCCGCTGCACGGCGAACGTCGACGTCGTCGACGGTGAACACATCTGTTGTGAGGTGTGTTTCCAGCGTCTGTGATCTCCTGCAGTCTGTGAAACCGGCTATGACATCAAAATCGTTTTTGGACACGGTGCATGTCGGACATACACCAAATTTCACAGTTGCAATAGCACATCGTTCTGGGTAGTCTTGGATATAGTTGAGGAGGAAAGGGTGGACAGTTATGTCCCCGAATCGCGTTGTCGGTATTATTATTCCGTTATGAGATGCCTCCTTCGCAGACTGCAACACCACTGAAAGAGCCTTGTGCAAAATGATGGTCTTTCGCTTTCTGAATGCGGTGGACTGCAGACCCCATGCTTTGTCACGCGGACGATGATGAAGCACAGGAAGATAGGCCAGCAGTGTGGCTTCGAATGCGTGGTCGGCTAGTGACATCATCAGAGGGTACGCCGTCTGTTTTTGACGACCGTTTGTATGTGTCTTGTCGGAATACAATGAAAGAGGGATAATATAACGTGGATTACCATTCCCGTCCATGCCTTTGTCCGCTCGAATGATCGACTGGATGTGATAACTTAGCGCCCCGATGCGTGGGCCGGATATACTGAAGTGCTCTGACGACGGAGACACTTCTAGAGAAGACACCATCTCGCATTTCTGTAATGTGATATGAAAAATTGACAGAAATGTCGTTCGCCAGTCGCGGTGCCACAAGATGGTGTGCGCATCCCGTGGCCAATCATCACAACGTAGGTCCAACTCTTTCCATCCAGCAGCGTCTGCTAGACTCTCTGCCCATGTCAAACACTCTCGACTATTAAGATACACGATGTCTCTCGCGCAGAATCTCGGGTCCGTGAGAAGTGACAAGAGAGCATCTATGTCGCTCTGCGACATACCGACGCCGCCCCTGGCAGAGAAAATCAGTGCCGCCAGCTTGCGAGAGCTGTCAAAAGATTCGACAGGCTGCGGTTGCTGCTCTTCGAATGTCCGCCCTCCCCGTCTACATTCTCGGGGGCCCCGACGTCCTCGCTCGCATCGCTCACGAGATTCACTGCACCTATACTTGATGCTCTGGCGTCATCGACCATACCGATCTCCTGGCCATGTGTTATTTCGTCCGCCACGGTCGGGCATGCCCTCGCACGATGTGAGTTCAAAGTTCGTAATGATATGAAAGGCCTGCTACAGTCGCACACCCGTGAACTGCTGTCCATTTTTTGTGCACGCAGTCCATTCCAAAAACAAACAGAGCGGTGCGGACAGTGTTTTCATTAGCATTTTGCACATTGGTTCAGGTCGTTAGAATTAGAAGTTGCATAGCATATTTTGTTATATTGTGTAAGTGTCGCACATCCTCTTCTTTGTGAGAAAGAGATAGAGAGGGAGTACTGATTGCCGTTTTTGGTACGAATGGTCTGTGTCGCTGATCCCGATTGACAAAAATTAGTAGTCAACCGTGCGACACGATAATTTATATGCCATGACAGGTTCTATGGTCGTGTAGGAAGAGGCAACGACTTACGCATGGTACATGATATATGACACAACATTCATCATCACAGTTTTGCAGCTGGCCAAGTTCGCAACTATCCATCCACGACGTTTGTGAATGTGGTATGTGTTTTCCATGTCCGCGTGAAAATGATTGCACCTCGGCACCTCAGCCGACCTCCGCACAAACTTCCGAAACATTTCACAACCATCCATCCACGATGTTTGTGAATGTGGTATGTGTTTTCCATGTCCGCGTGAAAATGATTGCAC